CAATTACAAGACATTTCAATGCCAAATACCACCTTGAATGGTCTTCTGTGTCGATCATATATTGTACACTCAATATTCGAAACACGCATCAAACTAAAACCAAGTGCAAACTCTTGCTCTTTTTGGATTTTTAACTCAATACGCTTCCTAACCGGCATAGTCCACTTCTGAACGTCCAAACTCTTTTGGTATAAAAATTTACTAAGTCTTTGCATGTGTGTATCAATGAGCCTTGTGATTGAAAAAATCGCTCTTCTTTCACCCATGCATTGAAGGACTCTGCTTGGTTGGTGTATAATTCATCCCAACGCTTGGAAGTAAACTTAGCATTTGACCAATGTTCTAGTGAATTCTCCAAAACCCAATCGTACAACTCCTCCCGAAATACCCGCATGGCAGCCAATACATTCTCATACTCGTCTAGAGTTCAAGCATGTGCAATTTTATCGAGTAATTTTTTCCTAGTCTCTTTACCCAAAGTCCTCAATCCTAAACTTTGTCTCTGTAATGGATGTAGAAAAATTCACCGTTAGGTGACGAAGACACCATGAGTGGTACTAAGAGCCAAAAATATCTCTAATACAGCTTATTAGGCTTGGATGCCTATCGGTTAAAATTGTCACAATGCGACCATCTAGAATCTCTTTCACCTTGCTCAATAACCAATGCCAATTATCATCATTCTCAAAAGAAATAATATCATACGCCAAAGGCCACAAGCCTTCATTCGCAACCAAACCCATTGCACCAAACATTGTGCCTTTATAATTGCCACTCAAGTGGCAAGCATCAATTGTTAATATAGGCTTGCAATAGTTGATGAAACCTTGTATAGAGCACCCATAAGCTACAAACACTCGCTTAAATCTTCTATCATCCGTGCACTCCCATGATGTAATTGTCTCGGGAATATATTATGTTATTCGTTCACACAATCAGGGGACTAACATATAGCTATCCTTAGGATTACCCTCAATGATATGACATGCACACTCCTTAGCTCTCCACGATTGCATTTAAGTCATGTCAACAGAAAATTCACTGCTTATATCTGTGGAAATAGTCTTGGGAATGCATTTAGAATTGTCCCTAACCTTGTTCACAATAGCTCGACCCATTTCCTTCGACCGAAAAATGGCTTTATAATCTGAAATGCCTTGAGCAATGTGAGTGTAAACATTATTAAACCGTTTGATTCTCACTATATCACTATTGCCTTCATAACCAGCTGACAATTTCGATGGACAATTATTAACCTCACACACAACTCTATAATATTTTATGCTGTTGTCCAAGTACTTGAACAGAAATTGGTTACTAAGACCAAACAAAACGAGTGCATATTAGAAATCATTTGGGCTTTTAAAAAGCTGATCCTCGCAAAGAATTTCATCAATGTGTCGGAAAGAATCCTGATGAGCATTTCTTGGAGGAAATGAAGACGTTGACGCAACACTGTGCGGAAGACAAATTGCCGATATATTGTAGCTAGTGGTTTCAACAAATTCTCTACAAGTGGATTAAAAAAGTATATTAAAAACTGTATAACCTATGCAGCGCATGCATCAATGTATGACTTTACATATATGTGTTTTACCTCTCACTATGATCATTTGGAATTGTTCATGATGCAATTACTGGCATTGCATCCTCCACACATACATTTAGCATGGGATCATTCACTAGAAGCATCACTCTAAATCCAAATTCTCCCGTCATCTTCAAAAGTTCATTCTTGTTAGATTCTGTGATATAATATATGACTTTACCACTCATGTTTGAAAATGAACGTTCTCGTAACTCATTTATAAATGATTCATATGTTGTTGTTGTTATCATAAAAGGGTCCATGACACCGCCGATGTATGTAATTTCTCCATTCTCATTTTTTGTCAAATTTTCCATCAAATTGACAAAAACATGTAATTTGTTTCTCATTCATTTCTCCTACTAGTTTTAAAATTGATTCATTAGTAAAATAATAATAATAATAATAATAATAAAGTTCAAAAAAATAATGAAATAGAAAACAAATAAAGATCATAATTAAATAATGTAATTTAGAGACCTTAGCATACAAACATTTAAAAGCAGAAAATAAAATAAAATAACTTAGAGTAGGTGTTTTGCTATCATATTGCCGCCTGCCTTCCACTACTAAAGTCTTCAAAATCACATAACAGGCTTATAAATTAACTGATAGTATGGTTCCAGTTTAAGGTGCAGAATTGATGAAACATCGCATAATAAACCCTAGGTAATCAGATCGCAGACTAAGAGTTCGTTCACAATAAGAATGTCTATTAGTGGCTGTTACCCAGTAAAAATTCCAAAAATGTAAAGTATGCATGTCAAAGGCATATATATACATCCAATAAGCATTTCATTTATTTCAAATTTCAAATTTACTATACAATTATACATAAGAACAATTCAATTCTTACATGGTTGCTCCAAATGAATGACCTTCCCAAGCTAGAGTGTTATTTTAAAATTACTATGTTATACTAAGATATAGAAACATAACATCAAACAATTCAACTAACCCAACCATGTTCCTGTTTCTTTAATTTGGCAACATGCATCTGAAACATTTTAATAATATGTAATATGTACTTCTTCTTATCGAAATTGATGTGTAATAGAAGTCTACATGACATTGTCTGAAATGTCCATATCTTTATTTGCAACTACAGCAGGTTAAATCTTTACCCAAAATAATAATAATAATAATAAATAAATAAATAAACTATAGCAGAATAATATTAAAGGATGCCCAAAATTCGAAAAAACACAGAGGTGGTTTGTGAACAAAAAAGGTTAAATTGTAAATAAGCACAAGCAAAAGGTTTATAAGAAGGAAAAAATATTATAGCAATTCCTACAGGAAATGTCATTAATACACCCAAGAGTTTCTTAAGAAAAACAAAACTTTTCATTAGAACCCATAGAAACTGCCATCAACAAAAGAAGAGAGTAACTTTTTTGTTTTCTTTTTACTAGACGTGTACTTCAGTCCCTTCAATTGTTTCCCTAAATCTCAATTATTTTTGGAAGCATCATTGAAAAGCATAGAAGATTTTCGCAAAAGGATGTGGAATAATCTAAAAGCTGATTACATCTAAATACCATCAAGATTTAGTGATCTAGGACCTACTATGAGTCAGCATCCCAAACCCGTATCTTAATTATCAACTTCTAAAAAATCTAAACCGTCTCAGGTTCCATCTTCAATTTTTGCATTTAAGATCCATTTTTTTCTAGTTAACACCTCGAATGTTTGACCATCTGCTTTAGCGGGCAAATCATGTAATGCAGAAATTTATCTACTTTCTTCAACTCTTCTTATGTACTCTTCATATATATTTAAATTCAAATTAGTTTATCAATGAGGGACCACTTTTCTTCAAGGAATAAATGAGTTGCAATCTGAGCACTCAAAACTGTAAACACCTTAGGGCATATGACTTCCAAGTAAAATACAAGAATATAAACTGTTTAGTCAATGGAATTTTATTTTGGTTAATTTCAGTATAAAAACTTGAGTTTATAATTTTATTTAACTTTTAGTTAAAAATTTAAAAGTTATTTAGAATTGGTTACATCTAAATATTTATTTTATTTTATTTTCCCTTAAATGAAGAAAACAAATAATAAATGGAACAGTATAGTACAAGGTAAAAATGAGGGCATACCCAGACACAAGAACCCTAACAACAGCAAAGACCTAGTTAGATAAAAAAAAAAACTTTGGGTCAACCCAAACATATATTTACCTTCTTTGAAAATTAATTTCAAATATCAACAATTTGTATCTATATAATGTCACAGACCTAGAATACAAGTTGTGAATTGAAAATTATATATGTAAATATGCTCATAAATTGGTTTGAATGTGCAAAATAGATGAAAAAAAAAAACAAAAAAATATAGAATCATAGATTATGCACATAATTAGATGAAAAATTACCTCAAACCCTGGATTCGTTCTTGAAGGAGAGAAGGACAAACCTTAGCTCTGGCTTTATTCAAAACCGAATAGATTCGGTTATCGAGAAACGAAGTGGAGAAGACAGAAGAACGAAGTGGAGAAGTGGGGTTGTTGCTTCGCTGGTTACAAAGAGGCTTCGTTGTTACAGAGAGGGAGATAGATAGAGGGCGCATGAATGAGGGTTTTATGGGCATATATTGCTTAAATTGGATAAATAAATAAAAAGGGCAATAAGGTAAATGTGTTGGAATAGGGAGAAGGGTATTTTAGGCAACACAATATTTTAAACAGTAAAAGTTCATGTGTTGTGTTATCTTTTTAGTCAAACTCATTTTCTTGAAAGAATATGACTTTGACTCAACTGATTAGTAAATATGGAGTACTAAGAGCAACTCCAATAGACTGTTATTTTCATGTGGGTTTAAAATGGGCTCTCCAATGACATGCCAAATGAGCTACCAAAATATAACTTTGCCAAATGTTATGCCAAATATAATACAACATATAACTATTACCAAATCTGCTATTGTTCTCTTCCTTCTTCTCTCTTGTATGGACTGCCAACTTGGTGTTAGGCTGCCAATTTTGTGTTGTGCTTGTGTATATATATAAGTCAGTTGTGCTTGTATATATATATATATATGTCAGTGTTGTGCATATATATATGTATATGACTGTTGTGTGTGTGTATATATGTGTGTATATATATTGTGCTTGTATATATATATATATATATATATGCAAGTGTTTTTATTTATTTATTTTAAATAATAATTGTTATGTCAAAAAATAGTATTTTAGATGAAATGCATAGTTGGAGCAGAATAGCTAAAATATAGTACTTTGACACTGCACCTCCTCTAAAAATATAGATTTGATATGTAAAAATGACAGTTTACGTTGGAGATGGTCTAATCCATTTATATGTAAAAATGTCTAAAAATAGAACCACCGAAAAATCCATTTAAAAATAATTTTTCGTTGGATAAATTGGCGGTTTGAACGGTACAAGGTTAAACCCACCTGACCGATTGACTGATATCAGCTCGCTCGTGAGAGAGAGAGAGAGAGAGAGAGAGAGGAGAAACAGGGCGGCCATGTTTGGGAGGAGACTGGTATCGTCGCTTCTCAAAAGGAGTAAAGACCTAAATAAGAGCATATACTACAATGTCAAGGGATCATCAACTAGGGTTTTGAATGAACCATCTCTAAACCCTTGCAGATTCTACTCTGTTAATGTTGCTGGTCGTAGTACTACTACTCCTGTTACGGCAAGGAACTCCATTTTCTATGGCTTTAGATCTACAGTCCATCATCATCATCGTCTTAAGGTTCTATTTCTACCTTCTCATCTTTCTTCATTTTGCTTTTCAGAATTATAAAAATGATGATTTCCTTTGTTTGATGTCCTGTTTTCATTCATCTTTATATGAAGCTTTATGTGGAAATCACGTAACGAAGGATTGTTATACAACATACACACATATGGGTGTGTTTATATCATGTTGGAATTTCTTTTAAGATGATTTGGGTTGGTTTCATTGTAAAAAAAGTAGGTGAAAGTGGCACCATTTTCCTTTTATTTATGTATGTTGTTTTTCGATGTGTGGTCTGCAATTTAGTTTCAAATGATTTTGTTCATGTATGTATATATATTATGTTGGATTTTCTTTAGATGATTTTGGTTGGTTTATTGTAAAAAAAATTGGTGGAAATAGTACCAAATATATATATTTTTAAATTTCATTTTGTTTTCCAATGTGTGGTCTTGTAATTTGGAATTCAAATGATATCTTGTTTAATGGGCTTGGATTTCATTGTGTGTTTTTTGTTCTTTTAGACTGGCATTCGATAGATCCATTTTGAATGGTTTGTTTGCAACAAAGAAAATGAAAAACCTACCTTGATCTCCTGTACTCTAGTTTTTGTTCTTTTCTCCAAACTATATGTTGGTGCTTACTTTTTGTGATTGCTTAAAAGCTTCTTGGATTTCTTTGCGTTTCTGTTAAAATAGCTGAAAGTCTTCTTATTAGGGGATCTTCTTTTTTCTTATCAACATAGAGTTGGAACTTAGCTGTGTAAGTTGCAGGTGGACCAGTGTGAAGCTTTAATTTTGTTGTCAGCCATTCAGCAACTGCATTGCGAATCTATTATTCCGTTAGAAGTCCTTATCTTTAACCTAAGTTAACCTACTAATTTTGGGACATTGCAGTAGATAGACTTTCTTTTCATCAACTATAAACTTCAAGCATCAATTTTTTCTACCCCTCCCTGCGTCTGAATACATTTTTTTTTTTCTTCCAGTAAAGGCCTTGTGTTTGAATGTTCTTGTCAGAGTCTGCCTTTTTTTTTCAAATTTTCTTAGTTTTGTCTATAAATATAATCAAAGGATCAATATTATATGATGTTTTCAGGATTTTTGTACGCCGTCATTTAGGAATATGTGTACCATGACATCTGCCAACATGATAAATAAGGAGGGTTTGAAGCTTTTGGTTACTGCTGGGCCCCATGCGCAGAAAGTTGTTGGAATATGGCTTTTTGCTTCTGCTGCATGGGTGTTTAGTATGGTGGTGCTTGGGGGTGTCACACGACTTACTCGATCTGGTCTTTCGATGACTGACTGGAAATTCACCGGTGACCTTCCTCCTCTATCAGATGATGACTGGTTGATTGAGTTTGAGAAATATAAGCAATCCCCCGAGTACAAGCGGTTAGTTCCAACAATATTTCAAGTGTTTCTGTGATTAATATTTGTTTATTGTGTGGCTTGTGCAAGGAATTTCATTTTCTTTTTGTTCTACAGAACGTTTTCATGATCGTAACTTCAATTTTTGTATTTCTAAATCTTCCAGGCAGTGTGTACTCATGAGTATTTTTGTGTCTACAAGTGATGTTGCCCTGTCCTTTTAAATGATGTAGAAATCTGGAATTTTGTTAGTTATTGGCTACATATTTGATTTCTGATCTCTTGTAGTGTAAACAAAGGGATGAGCATTGAAGATTTCAAGTTCATTTATTGGATGGAATATGCACATCGTATGTGGGGAAGAGGACTGGGTATCATGTTCGCACTGCCATTTTCATATTTTCTTCGTAAGGGATACATTACTCTGCAACTTGGAATGAGACTTTCTGTTTTATTTGCCCTGGGTGCTGGACAGGGACTAATCGGTTGGTGGATGGTTAAAAGTGGATTGGAGGTAAACAAAATTAATTTTCTGTTACGGCACTAAAATTTTGTATAAGGTCTGAACTCCTAAATACATTTCCTCTCTTCACTTCTTCTTTCGAAGGAGCCACCATCTGAATATTCTCAACCTAGAGTAAGCCCTTACCGCCTAGCAGCTCATCTTACGTCAGCTTTCGTTATTTACTGTGGCCTGTTTTGGACTGCTCTTTCTGTTGTTATGCCTGAACCACCTGCTGAATCAGTTGCTTGGGTTCGTGGGGCAGCAAAAGTTAAGAAACTTGCCCTTCCTCTAAGCATCCTCGTTGGCATCACTGCGGTATCAGGAGCATTTGTTGCAGGGAATGATGCTGTATGTAACTATCTTACTTTTTTTCTTATCATGATTTGTCTTGAGAACTATCTGGGAATGATATGAATTTTCATTTGAATGGTAAATTGCCAGGGACATGCATTTAATACTTTTCCGAAGATGGGTGATACATGGATTCCAGATGATATTTTTAGCATGAAGCCACTTATCCGCAATTTCTTTGAGAACACATCAATGGTGCAGGTATCTTTCCAAGTTCTTGGTTTTCATAGATTATAGCAGACTTGACTGCCATGGCTTTCCAGATGAATGCATCAATAGCTATTAACTAAATTGAGGTTGATTTAGAAGAGATGCGGAAGAGAGAGATGATTGCTATGTTAAAACATATTTAATGAGTATAGCATATTTAAGTTTTACCTTATAATATTGTTGAAGGTGAACATTTTGGAGTTACCATGAACCTTTTATTTTCCCGAAATCTCCACAAATTGAGATTTACAAATTAGAATGAATAAATTTTCTAAATATTGTTTTCAGCAAAATCAAATTAGGCAAATAAGATGATGTTAAATAATATTGTCTCTTCTCCTGCTTTTTTTTTTTTTTCCCTCACCAAATGTGTCTATAGAAAGATTCTTGTAACTGTTTCAGTTCCTCCCATTTTTTATGTGCAGTTTTATTAATACGGGGGGAGTACCAGAGGAGGGTAAGATAAATTGGTGTGCTGGAACAAACACTTCCATTATAAGCTGTTATGGAACTCTGAAGTTTGTCTTTAGATTTTTTCAGCTGCCAAAAGAGGAGTACTACGGAAATTGTTTTTATATTCTGCAAAATAAGTGTATTAGTTGTTATGTCTGAATAGTTATTTGGGGGGAAATGTTATCTTAGAATACGAATATCAGTTCATATGTTCAATTCGAAGAACTATTGGTAGAATTGTTTTGGTTGTTTCCACAACATTTAGTTCAACTCATTCGACATTTTGACTTGAAACACTAGAGAATCAAACAAGTGACTCTGAGTGACATGCTCCATTGTTCAAACAGAGAATTAAATCTCTGATGGAGATTGTGTCTGAAAGTTAATTTTCTAAAACTTTGTTGGAACCACATAATTCTTCTAATTCCTTCTACGAATTACAGCTGTATGCAGTTATGTTTGATTCTATATCCATTGCTGATAATTTTGTTAAATATAGCTGGCATCAGTTATAGATTTATGTAATGTGTTTATTGCTTGAACTACCTGAAGATCTAAAACGAATGGAATGTCATCTAATTCGAAAATTTTATTTTCTCAAACACTAGTCTCTAATATTATTCCGTAATATATATTCTTTAATGTTTACAGCTTGACCATCGTATCCTTGCGACTGCAACCTTAGTTTCAATTGGCGGCTTTTGGTGGTCAATGAGAAACCTGGACATTCATCCCGCCATACGATCTTTAATTGGAACCACCATGGGCATGGCAGCTCTTCAGGTACTTTTAGTTTTGAGTTCTTTAAGTTGTTTGTTTAAACTATTTCCTGTTACAAGTTATTTTCATAATTGTGTTGGTAGTTAAATCAATTTTGTAGTTTGACTATTTTCTTAGGAGTATGACAATTAGTAACTTGCTGGTATCTAAATTCATTTTGTCTAATTGCAGGTGACTTTGGGGATATCAACACTTCTCTCTTATGTACCTGTTTCGTTAGGCACTGCTCATCAGGCTGGAGCTTTAACTCTTTTGACACTTATGATACTGCTTAATCACACTGTGCGAAAGCCTTCATTGTCGCTTCTAAAAACTCTTCCTTTAGTTGCAAAGTCGAACTGATAGTTTCAGCCTAGGAATTTGTATCGCGGATTATAATTATTCATCAGTTCACATTTTAAATGTTGACTGTTCATCAGTTGCCTGTTGTCAAGGTCAGTGGAATATTCATCAGTTGCCCATTGTCAAGGTGAGAGTCCACTTTGCCATATGATAGAGAAATGCATTGACATTTTTTGCTTTCTTATTTTGATCCCTAACTGAATACATGCTTCAGACATAGCAGCCCTGAATTTGCCATGTGAAGAAAAATAGTTTAAAAGGTTTCTTTATTTGATTATCTATTCTACTACCAGTGCTGGTGACATAGAACTGTTTGGAAATAGAAGCAAAAAAGACATTGCTCAGTACTAGTCCACCTACAATGTGACAAAAACCTTAATTTTGATAATATTATAGAAAATGATTGTGTTGATACACAAACTAACTTTTATCATTGCACCAAATAATGATATTATAAGAGAATATTTTTTCTTTTTCTTTTTATTTTTATTTTGGCTGGATGTGGCAATTGGGACAACCTTTTAGATATGGTTATGCAAAATAAAATGAAGTCTTAAATCATTTGGGGTTTGACAAATATAATATTGTATTAGTTGTTTTGTTTTCAAAAGTGGTAGAATGAGTATTTTGGAGAAGTTATAAATGTCCATTCTCCTTTCCATGAGCTTTGATCCTCTTTTTGGTTCTAACAATTTTCTCTCTCTCTCTCTCTCTATATATATATATATATGTATATATATATTTGTTGTCTTGGCAATAAACACACACATCTATTTTATTGCTATGAAGACCTAACAAGGCATTTTTTTAACCATTTGAGGTTGGCTACATAAATATTGTTTTGCATTCCCCTCTATTTGAGGTTATAACCTCATTTAAATGATATTCTGTTATATATCACCCTATCTTTCAACCGTTGTTAGTTTTGATCACCCCTTCACCTAGCATTATCCCCAATCTCCCCTAGTGGATTGGTGCAGTTATTGGTCCTTTGTTCATTGGTCCTTTGCTCATGGTTAAATCATCTTAATTACTTAGCTCTTGTTTTATCTTCAATGAGTGTTACTTTAACCATCTTGAAAATGTGTGTATTTCTATTTTTATTCTATTTTGTCTTGGCACACATATCTCAAGAGTCACATTTAGATCACACTTATTTTATGTATTTGTCTTTCTGCTGTCCAGCATTTTGTTCATTAAAATATTGGTTGTCTAATAACAGTCTATAAAATTATACCTTTAAATTTTAGTGGAATAATTTGATTGCATAATATAATTTTAGAAGCATTCCTCTTATGTAACTTATCCAGCATTGATTTCATGATTAACATCATCTTTGCTTTTTTCCCTCTTTCTGTATAATTGAGCATAAAAACAAAAATGTTCAATTTTTAGTAATCTATCAATCCTTGATTTCAAAAGGTTAGAGGAAATAAAGTTATTATAATTGGTTTTAAAAAGTTAAAGATAACATGTCTGACGATTTGTAATAGACAAGAATGAAAAACGATAATTCACGTAGCCAATCTCATTCATATGAGATTGCAGACAAGGATGATGAATGATTACTGATCCTTGATTATTATTATTTTTATTTTAACATCCTCATATGTATTTATGGTTTTATTAAAGAATTTATGCTGCGTTTGGTACGCTTGAATGGAATGGAATGCCCATTCTAACCATTCCTTTGTTTTATATGAAATTTAAAGTGGAAATGACCATTCCTTTGGAATGAAGATCTATTTCTCAACTAAACCTATGGAATGACCATTTCATTCCCAAGTAAATTTTTTTAAAAAAATCTAGCTCCCAAAATATCCTCATGTTCCAAGTCCAAAGACCACCACCACCGCCTTCCACCACTGCCTTCCACCATTGCCACCACCACCACCACCACCGTCATTGCCACTATTGTCGCCACCTTCCACCTCCACTGTCACCACTACCATGCCATCTCCACCGACTTCCATCATTACCACCACCATCACTGACTTCCACCATTTACACCACCACCACCACCACCACTACCACCGTCAGTGCCACCACCACCATCACTATCACCGCCACCGCCACCGCCACCGCCACCGCCGTCATTGCCTTCCACCACCATCTTCACCGCCACCTTCACTGCCTTCCACCATTGCCTTCCACCACCGCTATTAACACCACTACCGCCTTCCACCACGACTGCACCGCTATCATTGCCACTGCCTTCCACCACCACCACCTGCACCATTGTTGCCTTCCACCACCACCACCTGCACCATTGTTGCCTTCCACCACCGCCACCTACACCACTGGCGCCTTTCGCCACCTACACCACTGCTGCCTTCCACCTCCACCACCACTGTCGTTGCCATCCACCACCGCCACATTTCTTTTTTAAGAAATTATAGAAAAATGTTATTTTGGTAATATAATTTATTTATCACTGAGGGGTATTTTGGAGAATTCAATTTGAAATTCATTCCATTTTAGGTTTTAAATTGGTCCAATCAAACACTAGAATGTTTATTATCATTCCATTCCTACATCATTTCAAATTTGCAACCAAATAATAGAATGAGAATGACCATTCCATTCCCATTTGCATTCTATTCCATTCCTGTATACCAAACGTGGCATTAAAGTTTTATTTCATGCATTCAATTTTAGTCCTATCTTATCTTAATCCTTTTGATTCTAGAGCTTTTCTCCCTTTTCTTCTAAACTCTAATTTAATTCTTATCCACGTTCTCATTTCTTCAATCAAAACAACATAAGCAGGAAGTAGCATATGCAATGGAACATGATATGGGCTTATTATTAATCCTTAATATGAGCTTACAATGATTGGAAATTCATTTGTTTCTGACAAAAGTTTAGCCTTTCATGAGTTTACCCAAACACTTCTATCTCACAAGAGCCCAATAAGTTATCTAATCTTTAGAAGCCCCATCGGCCTAGCAACTATTACAATCACTACCACAAGATTTTGAAGGAAAAAGATGAAGGCTAAAGTGCAAAAAAAGCTCCTGTTATATCCTGAATATGCAAATATCCCCCTGGTGTTTGAAAAACCACCTTGCATTTTCCAAATTGAGCAAATAAGGACATTTTTGTCGATTTGAAGACTGAAATACCTAAAATGCCCTTAAGACAAAATAAAATTAAAAAAAAATACTAATTTCATAAAACACTGATTATTAAGGGTATTTTGGGTTTTGATAGAAAAAAATTGTTTAGAATTGACGGTTAAGGGGCAATTTGCACATATCTTCAAATGTTAGGGATTTATATGCACATACTAAATAGTAGGGCTGTTTTTTGCACATTTTTTATTTAGCAGGGGTTTTCTTTTTGCACTTTACACTAAGATAAAACTAATCTCTCTCTAAGTCATACACAGCGTCTCTCCAGATTCCACTGACCACCTTAGAACCATGTTGGAAACCCTTATTCCAAAAGCAAGTGTAAAGTTAGTGCTCTCTCTCTCTCTCTCTGCGCGCCATGTTATCTCTTGAAAGGAGATGCCTATTTCTATTATTAAAATCTCTATTATTTCCACTCTTTTTTGTTGGGTTTCCAGAAGAGAGTATAGATCTTTAGAGGATATTGTTGATTTTTTGGCCTCTTTGAAGGTTTGAGGCTCTTTTTTGGCCTTGTGTAGTTCTCTTGGGACGCGCTCCCCTTTTGAGCGCTTTTTATACTTCTTTACTTATAAAAAAAAAAATGTTATCTCTTGATTGCCATTCTTTTCATTTCTTTTGTGCTGATGTAATCACAAGCCGCTCCCGTGGTAGAGGTGTGTGAGAGATGAACAGAGATTGATGGCGAAGACAATGCCGACATTGTCAATTTTTTGCAATATGAGCTTGAACAAAGTCGAGTTTGAGCTTGCTAGAGCATTGGTGAGCTGAGCTTGAGCCGAGCACAAACAACTTTTTGATTTTGATGAGTCGAGCTGGAACAATCCCAAGTTCGGCTTGGCTCATCTGCAGCTCTACTAGCACCAAAACTAGCACTCGCAGTAGAGAATTGTAGTTGATGTTCTATTAAGAATTAAAGCTAACCACAATAAGCCTTGGCAGTTTGTTGCCCTGTGATGTTGACAAATCTTTTTCTCTTCGATTACCACCACACCCGCAATGACTACATTGTCTCATGAAGCCTTGCGACATTGCTGGAGAAAATTGCCAATCATGAGGCTTGTTTCTGCCACTATTGAAGCATTGTCCAATCTGTAGCTTGACACATCTAGTCTGCGCAATGTACCTTTTATTTTATGTTCATAAATTGAAATGATGATTTGGCATTTTATATTGGATGCAATAAAACCGAGAAAGTCTTATGTGCACCAGTGATACCATATCATCGGTGTCACCAACCGATTACATCTTGTCACACAAGTAAAAATGCATCTATTTCAATGAGTCCTATTATTATGTGCCAACATTTAATTAGCTGGTAAATACCATGTAATTGGTATTACTTGTGCATTAAAGATATTTTTTTATTATTATTATTATTTTTAAAACCTTAGATTTACTGGTAATCCAAAATTAGATGTCTAGTAAAATGTTGTGGTACAGAAAGTGGAGAAGTCATTTATTATTATTTACTCCGTAGTTGCAAGTTCATTAATTATTTTTTTCTTCATAGTTGTTGCAGCAGTATGTTTGTTCTTTTAAATAATCTCACAATATAAGGTCGCATTTCTCTCTTTGTATATGGCATTCTCAGGTTTGACTGGTGTTGGAAAGAGCCACAGGCCCCCTACTCCCTTTTAAATCTGAAATGCGGACTGACAACGGTGCATACGATAAAATGCAAGGACCAATGCTGTGTATTGCAGTGTTAACATGACATCAATAGAGGTACAGTGTGAGTTTGGTGGATTACTTTAAGGTCCGAAAGTTTGACATATAAAAGCTTCTATTTGCAAAAGTATCGTTCATTAATAGGAGAATTACTTGGACTGTGGTCTTTAAAATTTATCAATTTGTGTTATGTACCAACTACCAACAATGACATATTATACAAAATAAATAGGTACACTAGAATTGAGAATATCTTATGATAATACATCTTTCAGTTCTCATTCTCGCAAGTCTACATATCCCCCAATTTTCACTCATAAGTCTTTACATATCTTAGTTTTCATTCTCGTCTCAACTACTAATCTAGGTATTTATTTATCCCTCAATTTTCATTGTCATAAGGATCACAATTTCTTTTTGCCTAAATTTCCTAACAAGAACAACTTGAAAATAAAAAACCTAGTGATATGGGAAATTTGAGATATATATGACTTAAAGAAGAAGAATAAAAAAGGGCAAAAACCCGAACAACACAAAATTTGCGTGGTCGATTAAAAAGATGATTTGGAAGAGATACTAGGAAGCCAGTGTAGAGAAAATTTCCTTTAAAATTTAGGTTTAATTAGGGTTTGTAACAATTTCCATTTGTTTTATTTAAAAATTATTTTCAGATAATAAACTGTTATTGGGGGACAGATCTACCCTCCTGCCTGTTTAAGTGGTTTAACAAGTGTGTGTATAAAATGGGTAGGAAAATTGCTTCACCAAATTTAGAATCCTGTTATGAAATTGTTGAGGTCAAACTAGTAGTATGGGTGGTGAAGGACAACATGCAAAATTTATTTAAAAAAGGACATAACTGTGCACCTTTGAGATTTAAAACAACCTTGAAGTACACAAATCAAACCATGAAGTAGTTTCATAATACATACTTTTGTTTATATGCATGTAAAGTTGAAAACCATAGCTGAGATAAAAGTAGGAATTAAGAAAGAGAGAGTACATCCAGTAGGAACAAAGGATGGTTGCCAAACACACATTGGAGGTGCATATCATCAAACAAATTATCCTCAGAGATACACACACAAGTTCAATCAAACATATATGCACCCGCTATGTTGCTCCTATCAGGGCTCGAACGCTCAATCCCCACCCCCTCTTTTGGTAGGAGAATTTATACCATTTGGGCTAGTGCCCATTGATTGGATGATTTGGAGGTTGTGAAGCCTACTTGTTCCAGCAACAGAAGTTAATTTAGTGTGGTTGCCGTGTCTGTTACATGACCTAACAATTAAAACATGACTTTGTAAATTGAGGAGAGTGGAATAGAATAACCAAAGAAAGAAAGAAAAACAGATTAATAGACTGATTTGAGCAGAGGAAACATGATTCTTATTACCGTTGAAATTGTGGTTGGCATTTCCATATTCGGGCCTTCTTTCATGATGATGTCGATCTGGGACTAGGAAACTAAGTAGGTTCACTGTCACGTTAACAAAGCATAAATGATGGTAGATATCAAATAATTAAAAATTGTATAATTCAATAAACCTAGAAACAATGTCTAAAAATAAGCTTTTAATATCTGCCACACACCACCATATATTATGGTACTTGCAGAGAGTTGGGCTTTGTGCATTGTAATATATTCTTACAAAATTCTATAAATATGAATAAAATTCTAATATAGTAATATACTTCGATAAAATTGTATAACGTATGAATAAGATTTTGTGCTTTCTAACATTGTAATATATTTTTACAAAAGTTGTTTGTTTGTTGAGTAAATATAATTATCTCTATCTAATAGTATATAAAGCAATTGGTTGTTTCTAGTTTATTTATCTAAAAGATGACAATATTACCAATGTTCTCGGAAACCTCTGCTAGATTCCAGCATTTGAAAATTCTTGCAGCTTGCAAGAGAGGCAGTGCTCCTGTGTCGACTTTCAACGAAATTAATTTAGTCATGTCATAGAGTTGAAATTGTTCAAGTTTCTGAAATCCCCCTTCCTCAAAGTGCAAGACCTTGCCATCGTATGCATTATTGAGCACAAGCTCTAGTAAATTGGGTAGAGTTTGAAGGGATTTTAGGGGATCTTCTGTCAGGCTTGAGTCACACAAACTTATTGTGACCAGATTTTGAAGTTTGGAAATCCAATTAGGGAACTTCTCCAATTGCCCCGTCAGGACAAGATGCTGCAAAGAATTGGGTGGAGATAAAATATGTTGTAAATCAAGAATGCCATTTTGAGTTGCAATTACATGCAAAGATTGAAGGTGGCTCATATTCTCAACTGCAATGCACATATCCTTCCCTTCCTCTTTCTTCAAGTTGATGATGCCCAATTTCCTCATCTGCCTTAGCATTATTAGCTCTTTGACTAAGCTTTTTCCATGATCATTTGCCAACTCCACTAAGTTTAGCTTTTGCAAATCCTTTAAACAACCAAACCCTTCATGTATCTTTACCACTTGGCTGTAAGGTCGATTGGACGCAAGAAGATGTCGCAACTTATGGAGCCTGTTGATCTCAATAGGTAGCTCATCCACAAGACTTTCTTTCAGATCTAATGTCAGTAGGTAGCGTAGCCTACCGATGGACTTCGGAAGAACCTTCACTTTTGTTTTTCTCAAACTTAGATACCTCAGATGGAGTAGATTTCCCACTTCTTCAGGCAGAGAATTTAATGCCGGAGCATTTTGAAAATCCAATACCTTCAAAAGCTTGAAATTTGTCATTAATGTGCCTATGAAAGACTCTGGCAATTCATCTGTTCCAAAAGTAATTACGGAATGTATTCTTGACTTAGTAATGCTATTCATGACACTATTAGTTATGTTATGAATAGATAAGCATCTAAATTGTCCATCGTCAAAAATAGAGTCATCTTTTGCGAAAAGTAACTCCTCGTTTTTTATTAGGATGATCTCACGCATTATATCATGGACTCGACATCATTGAACTTTTTGGTCAACTGTGTAGCCCCGTGATATTTGAACCAAGCTTCTATGGATGAGCTCTTTCAAGTTTTCTTCTGCGATCTCTTCCAATGTTTTACCTCTATCTTCTTTTACAAAACCCTCAGCGATCCATAATCGAATTAGTCTTCCATGTCTAATGGAGTAGTCTTCTGGAAGTATGCCAAAATACAAGAAACAAGGTTTGAGGTGGTAGGGCAAATCAAGATAGCTGAAGAGAATAATCTTCTTGACATCTTCTCGATGGGGGTTACTTTTCAACTCAGAACCGAGTCTATTAGAAAAATTTTGCCACTGCAATACAACCTTATCTTTGGTTGACAATAGACGACCTATCATTACAATAGCAAGTGGCACTCCATTACATTTTCTAACAATTTCATCCGACACTTCCTTCAATGCCGGAGGACAAATCCCTCCATAATCAGATTGGAATGCGCTTTTGCAGAAGAGGTCCCATGCTTTTTCGTGAGACAGGTGGTTGAGTTCATAGATCTTATCAAATTTAGATTCTATGCAAGAAGTAGCCACACCATTGTTTCTTGTAGTGATAATTACCCGACTACCTTTGTTATCGTCGGGTAAAGCAGGTTTTATGAAATTCCAAAAACGCATGTCCCATACATCGTCAAAAATAACCACGTACCTTTTTCGTTGTAAATATTCTCTTAGCTTGCCGATGAGTGATGCCTCTTCTATTGTTTCAATTCCATTGGAAGTAGTCTCGCAGAATTTCTTCATTACAGTCCTCAATAGGTCCTTGTTGTTGTATGATTGAGAGACAGTTATCCAAGCATGGCAAACAAAGTTCCCACATGCTACTTGGTCATCATAGACCTTCTTCACAAGAGTGGTCTTTCCAAGTCCACCCTCACCAACCACTGAAATCACCGTTCTTTTTGGTGATGCTTCCTCTGCCATCAAGGTCGTCAGTTCAGCTCGTGGAGACTCGATGCCTACCACTTCAGCTTCGTCAAGAAAAAGGGAAGCCACTCGAGGATCATGCCATGTCGACTCATTCTTCACATTGCTGCTGCTGCTGCTGCTTGATCCTTCCTCTTTGACATGTAAACCGTATCTATTCCGTAGTTCGTGGATCTCATGGAGAGTTGTTTTGATCTCTTGAATCTCCGAGGCTATCTCTTGTCGGGGTTTACATTTTATGATCGATTGAGCAACCTTGTAAAGAAAACTGATGAACCCACGACGCTGATCAGAGCGTTGTGTCAGCAGATGAAGTATGTATTCATCAATCACATCTTCTATTCGGTAAGAAACTTTCCTTACTCGTTTCACCAAAGCTTTTACACCATCATTGCTCTCTCCTTTTTCGGCCCTTTCGTCTGCATCCTTCAGATAGGGCTTAATGAACTCTAATTCACATTTGATACTTTCGAATTCTCTGTGCACACCTCTCAAAAGATTCACCTCCTCTGCAAGTAACGAAACCAAATAATCGATCACAATGCTCACCGCATACTCTGCCATTTTTCCTCTCTTCTCAATGGTGCTCTAAATTTCTTTTTGCTAAGTAACTCTATTTAATTTCAATGTGTTATTGTGTTAGAAACTGAATTATTTTACCCATAGCTTAAGAAAGGAATTATTTTTCTGGCCACTCAAGAGAGGAACATCCACTTCAATCGTTATTGTAAGTGCTCAAACTTCCCACACACACTACACCTAGCAGGGCTTCCCAGGTACGTTCTTAGTCAACAAAATATAAAGAAAGGTCTGGCCACTTTTAGTTTTTTCTCAATCATAGTTGTCTTCATTGTATATGGATGGTGACCATCACAATTCTTTCTTCAATTCTTTCTTATTATGCATCATATTTCTTCTTAGATTTAATTTTTTAAAATTAATTTTAATTATTTTATTATATATAAATTTTGTTGGCCTCTTTATCGCTTACCTTCTAGATTAATAACTTACAGAGATTTCACTAGTTCCTCCGCATATATTATGAATGAACACTGATTAACGTTTCACTCCACATATCCTGAATAAGATTTACGGAGTATAAAATTTATAAATTTTATAGATTTGTTTTCTTTGTATAGCCCACCAAAAAATGGCCCTTGCTATTCTATCAGATTCCTTCTTTAATTTTTATGTAAACCATGTGTAATTTTTTTTATTTATTTTTTATTTATTCCTACAATCACCACTTTTTTATTTTTTTATTTTTTATTATGTAATTACAATCACCTATTAATTTGTCTTATTAAGTATATAACTTTAATAATGGATCCATCTAGCATAAATCTGAATTGATTATCATATATTAAGGTTTATTTCCTTGATCTTTGTTCAATTATCATTTTTCATAGTTTCATTGTGTGACTCATTAATTTAATTCCTCTAATTTTTTTTACAATTTTATATATTTATTCTTATAAATGAGTTCTATATTGTTTTTTCTCCATTCTTTTTTCTTTTAGAATTTTGCTAAACAATTTTTTTGACTATTCAATTCCTATTCTATCTAAATTTCTCCATGCCTCTATAGGTCTGGGTCATCTACTTCCTTACTATTAATTTCATTTACTATTCCTATGTAAGGTTCATTACCTATCATTTACTAATTGTTGAACATAATTTTTTCACATTTCTAATCTATCTGTTTTTTTAAACTAATATTGTTTGATTTATATACTTAACACACCTAACTTTATTTCTATTAGTTAACCTCTCTTTATTTTTTGCTAATTTGTAAAGTCAGTTCACCCTCTTTTGTTTAATGCATTTTATTTGTTATTTTTACTTTAACTACCATCATTTTAGCTTCATATTTAAGTTTTTTGTGGCTCTCTAAATCTTCTTGTTTCTTACTCTTTTTTTTTTGTTTCTTGTTGTTGTTGTTGTTGTCGTTGTGATATTTAAGTTATAGAAGATGCTATTAAAATTAACTTGTATAAATTGTAAATAAGAAGTATTGATGAGAGAATAATTTTTCAAAAAAAAATTGCTTCTCTTGTCAATACCTTTGATTTACAAACAAGAATTCCTTCCTTGGTCAGAGAATGGAGATACAAATGGATCATTCACTCTTCAAGTTATTCTAAAGCTGAATCCACTATTTTGAAGCAAGAAGGTGCTTTTCTTGCACGAGTGAGTGCCCGTGCATGTGTGCTTGTTCTGAACTTTGGGTCGAGTTTGTAATGATACATAGTCCGACGGTCATACATATCAAACTAAATTTATGTGAGTAGAAAATGACATCAACATATATCAAAGTTACATAATTTATTCAGTAGATGGCCGCGTCCAAGCTCTGCGTGCGAATTAGCGACTTGGGAGTGCGTGAATTGTTCCACACAAGGCAAATGCAATTGTGTTATGGTAAGAATCCAAGTAAATAGCGCGTAGTGAAGGAATGGAACTCACTAGCAGTCGTTGGAAATAAAAAATACTTGAGCACAATTAAAAAAATATAACTATTTCATATACTTAATTAGTAAATGAGATTATAGATAAATATCTGATTATTTTTAAATAATATTATATTATAAAAAATAACAAAAATAAAATAAAATAATAATTTATTAAGATAATTACTTATATAAATAAATGTATAGAAGCTTTTGCGCGCTCCCGCTCTTTAAGAGATTAGATTATGTTTTCGCTCTCGTTTTATGTGACTTAGGATATGATGCTGATGATATCATTAGTCGGATATATTCGACTTTCAAACTATTTATTATTATTTTTGAAAAAAGTAATAATAAATCAAAATATGTGCGGTCATCACACCTTGTATTTATATAAATGTTAATTCATTCCTTTAAAAAAAAAAAATTATTATTTTATTCTTTTGTCAATACTTTTAATTTACAAACAAGAAGGGTAGTGCACAAGATACAAATGGAACATTCACCATTCAAAGTTAATCTAAAGCTAAGCGAGTGTTTTGAATCAAGAAGATGCTTTTCTTCTGAGTTACACACGTGCGTGATTTTGGGTTGAGTTTTATTATCTTTATGAGGTATCAACATTTGAAAAAAGAAATTATAAATAAAAATATGTGCAATTAATGATAACACACATTTTATAGTTATATAAATTTTAATGTAGTCGTCGACATCTTAATATGTATAGAATAGAATCGATCACATGAATTCTCATCAAAATTAGAAGCATCCCAATTTTAGCTTAGCTTCCAATTGCTCAGTCTGCTTCCTAGAATTGAAATTCTTATTCACGCTCCATTGTCTCAAAGGTTCTCTGCAACACTGAATTTTTGACTTCAATTTGAACATGGGTATGTGTATACTAGAGTAATGATATATTGCACATCATTAAGCAAGAAATTTATCCTCACCATGTATAATTACCATAGGTCCATATCTATATTCAAGTGTAACAAAGGTAGTTGTTATCCAAAAAAAAACAAAAAAAAAAAAATCTGTATTCCCTTGGTCGACCTATTTTGGGACGGGGGAGTAGTAATTATATTCAACAATGATTATGCATTATGTGGATAAATTTCTTATTATTGTGCAATTGTATGTATAGTGATTTCTTACTCATTTGTGGATACTTAGCAGAGCTTACCCTAAAAGGCTCAAAGGAAGAGCGACAAATTCTCTTGGTACCCTCGGGTGTTTTAACCATTGGATTTAATAGGCGAGTCTCACCACCACATCCAATGTGCTATTATAGAATTTCTAGTATATATATATATATATATATATATAAGCTTTGTAGCAGTGAAAAGGAGTGTGTGATCATATAAGTGTGTGTATCGAGTAAAGGACACTTCTGTGCACTTATTTATGAATTATGGGATATTTTGGCCATTTAGTGTTACTGCACAAGGATAATAATGTCATTTGAAATGTTTTAAGGATCAAACTAGTTCCTCATGCAGCTATGTCTACCATATAAGAAAAGAGAGGGATGATTGAAATTTAGGAACAAATCTTCACCTCTATCGAAGACATTGAACAAACCGGTGTTATAAAATAAAATTGGGTTTTAGTTTTTCCAAACACCGCATCATAGATTTCGTCCATTAACGTCAGCACCCATTATGACAGTGGAGAGTAGTATTACAAATTCATAACACTGATTATATTTAAAAATTAAAGGCGTTTCTTGCAAGGGGTTTTGTATCGCTATTTCCAAAAAATTTTAGATCTTAATTTTCAATTTTTTTTAAATAAAAAATTTGCAGCTTAATAAGACCATCTTGAGTTCGATTCTTAGAGGTGCAAAATTTTATGAATTTAAATGATATATGAATCCTGAGAATGATTACATATATCATCATATTAAAAGATTCATTGTTTCAATTAGGGGCGAACGGACTAATTTTTTTAGTTACACAATTCGGTGAGGGATTCATAGACCAAGAATTCATAACATTTTTTTAGCGGGGAGCTAAAAATTAAGGAGGAAAAGGAGCTGTTGCCATAGTCTAGGATGAATTGATTTATCATTGTTTAAAATATTATATTATTTTTTATAAAATTCAATCTGTAATACTAGATTCAATTTTCACCAATTCGTAGAATCGAATTGGTTTAAGTTTAACGCCTAATCGAATTTGATCCGAACCCACCCTTAATTTCAATATTTATAATAATGACAATAACAATATAAATAAATAAAATCGCACCCTAATTTTTTTCACATGAAACATTAAAATAAGCAAGCACTCCCATGGTATATCAAGGCAACAAAGGAAGTACGTACATATTACATGCCCAAAACAGCATAAAAAAGCATAGAAGTGTATAGAGTGGTAACAGATTTGTGCTTCACACGGTCACACGTCACTGACTCATACCCCTTCTCTCTCTCTCTCTCTCTCTATATATATATATATATCTCTCTCTACGGAAAGAAAACATTCGTGGGATAAGTAAATACTATATCAATCAACGGTCTGACTTCCGGGTACAGTAGCAGAACTGATAAGGCAAAAGGGCATGGCCTCGTCTTCCACTTCGCCTGCAATACCTTCCTCTCTCTGCAACAACAACTCCCGTCTGCTCTCTCGCTCTATCTTCTTCGCGCGCCATTTAGGTCTGCAACCTCTCAATGCCAAAAGGAAATTGCTCTCTTCCGCTTCCAAGAAAAAGACCGTCACCGCCATTTTTGCCAAACACGCCGACAAGACCGCGTTGCAGTACAGGAAGGTCGGGGACTCCGACCTTGAAATCAGTGAAATCACTCTCGGAACTGTGAGTGCTTTCTTTGTAAAAATTTACTTGGGGTTTTTTAGAAGTTGTTTATTCTGCGTTTTATGTCTTTTGGAATCAATTTTGGGCTTTGTTGCCAACAATGTGGTCGGAAAATGTGTTCTCTTTTTCATTCCTTATACCAGTTGATACTCACACACCCACGTGAGGAGTCGAAACCTTAGACCTGATGCTTCCTAAGGCACCATGGCCAAGTGACTTACCCACTTAAACCAACCCCATGGGAAAATGTGTTTTCATTTTCGTTTTTCTATTGGTTTCATCACTAGTAGTTTGATTTCATTTAGCATTGTTTTTGCTTTGAATTGTGAGATTGAATTCAAGTATAGAGGTCTCAATTATGCATTGCTAGAGATTTTTTATTTTTTATTTTTTTAAGAATGTTCTGTGTTAATTCCAGCAGAATTGTTTGAATTTCCCTTAGCCTAAGACAGTGGCATGTTTGTAACTTCGTATGTCCCATAAAATATAATTCCCCAATGCATACATGCACAAGACTATCAAGAGGGTCTGTTCACACACTTCCAGTTCTTTTATTTAATGGGCAATTTACAACTGCAAAGGAATGGTGAAATATTGCGAAACACACAATGTAAGGGTATTATGAAATTAACCATGTACCCATTAATTGTGGTTTGCAATCCCATTGTTTCTTGTTGGCTCCATTGATGATTTTAAAGTTGTACCTTCAAATGTTTGTGTTATAAATAGTGAGCAATAAAGTATTCATACGACACCAAATAGGTCATATTTACTATATGAGAGCTTAAGTAATACATATGACCAAGGGTCTAGCCCAAGTAGTACCTCCCCCTCCTCTCATATAATAGGTTCAGAGTTCAAGTCCTCATACTATCAATAATGTATAAAATAGTGGCTTCAAACTTGAATAACAAAAGAAAGTAGATGATACTATCAAAATGACATTTCTGTTTTAGAATTCTTGTGCAAAATAATTATTTTTTGAAATGGAGATTCAAGTGGGAAATGGGAACTAGGACACACCTGAGGGATTTCTAAGTGCCTGAAAGCAGGAAAACCTATGAATTTTTTTTTTTTTTTGAAGATGGGCATTGCATAGGAAAGAACTGGTAATGTTGACTTTATACTAAATCATGAACACGTCGAAGTTCTTTGGTGGTTTGATTCTACAATTTCTTTTTGTTTAATTGTTTTTATTTGTTTTCTCCCCACCTGCATTTTGGGTAATTTTTTGCAAGTCTTGACTTCATGTCTATTATATTTCAGATGACATTTGGGGAACAAAACACAGAAAAAGAGGCTCATGAAATGCTTAATTATGCGTTTGAGCGTGGGATTAACGCTTTAGATACTGCTGAGGCTGTAAGTTCTTCTGCACAATTCAATCATCCCTAGAACTTGCTATCTTTTCAGAAAGGCTTCAAATTATGTAAAATTTAGGGGCCAAAAAAAAAAAAAAAGAATGACAACAATTATATAAGTTTTTGATATATTTTCTTAGTTTGTTTTGTCTTTCTCTGTATGAAACAAACAAGACTTCTATTTAATATTTGAATGGAGATGCAACCAAAATGCAAGGTATTGTTTTGAGAATCTAAAATGAAAGTTTCAGCTAAAAAAACAATAAAAGGAAAGATTACAAGTAATGTAAGTAATAAGTAAGCACTAAATCTAGGATAAAGGAGCTGGAATAACAAAGCTGGGTTTGGTTGGCGTCGGGTCCTCTTCTTCAATGCCTTCTATAGGCTTCTATAATTACTGGGAGTAACTTCTAGTCAGTGCTTCCATTTAACAAAATATGCCAAAGTATTTCACACCTTTTCTGCCATGTGTCTCTTAAGTTCTTGTGTCTGTCACATGTCTCTCGAGTAACTAGCCTAAAACACCATTTTTTGTTACATGTCTTTTGGGATAACTTTCCAAAATCACCTGATTTGAGCTTGTGATAAAGACCCACTCCACAAAAATCGGCCAAAATGTTAGACCAATATACTTAAGTGTAAACAGTTTTATGTTTAAGATTTTTATTCATCAATTTTAGGCAATTTACCGAATACTTGAACCCTCTTAATTGTCCCTTTTGTATGGAAAAGTAAAGCTCTAAGTGTTTCCAATATGGCTTTTGGTTGGGTTGAGTTGAATTAAAATTTTACAATATTTGTAAAATGCACTTTCCTTTCAAATTTCGTCTCGTAAAAAATGTCATTTTACTTGTATATAGTTATTATATAGACCAATTAAAAAAAGACTTCTCTCTATTCTTTGAGCACAAGACATCAAGTTTTTTTTACATATTTTAGATACTGCTAGTCACAGTCAGCAGCTTTGTCATTATTGAGTTTATCTTCTTTTTTTCCCTGTTCCCAAGTATCCAATTCCAATGAAAAAAGAGACGCAAGGAAGAACAGATCTGTATATCGGAAGCTGGCTGAAGTCTCAACCCCGCGATAAGGTACTTTCCATTCATGCTGGATGAGTGGCTAGTAATACGCTTCTCATTTTACCCCCCCTGTAATTGTGAGACCAAACCTGTGACAGACATTCTACAGTACTTCTGCTATAATTGTCTTACGAAAATGCTCCTTAAAAATCTTCAGTTTTATTGAGTGCTTTAAACCCTATATTTTTTTTCCTTGAGTTCCTATATTTTTTTGTTTTGGGCTCTTATACTATCTGAAACAAAAGAGGATGATAACAGTAACTCTGGTTTTCTATGTGATTTTTAAGTTTGAGCATGCACAACATCTGTATTTGTTTATATGTATAAAGAAATGGAAGTTTTATATTCTCTTATGTCTTGAAATAAAACATGTCTGTGGATCTGTATGTTCACCAAAATGTCTTAAAATAAACATTGTTAGGAATATGAGTCATTTGTTGGCAATTACCTATTCGAAACTTGGGTAGTAAATGTGTCAAAGTGTCTTGGTTAGTTTCTTTACAGCCGTTGAAGACATTATTAGAGATTAAAGTTTCATGAAGAACACACCGCAGAACCTGCATACTTAATCACATATTTAGGGCATAGGTAACTAGATCTTAGAAGACCTTAGGTGACCTAGATTTGATCTTGAAAAGGCCTAGAATAATTTCTTAAGTTTGCTTTTCAAAAATAATATTTCGAATTAAAGTATTTTGAGAAGTTTTTAAAAAAGTTTTTATTGAAAAATAATATAGTTTTGTCAATAGGTTGATTGATTGAAGACCTGCAAGCCTCGATTGAAAAATGAACTGATCGAAAGTTTTTTCTGAAAACTAGTGTGCCCAGACTGTCTAACGAAGGCTTGATCGAATCTTTCGGAAACTCAATTTTGGAAATTCTCTCTAATAGAACTGTTGGAAGGATTCTACTTAGTAAATAGTTTGGATCTCTCATTTGGGTTATAAATATTGCATTATTGTTAATGTAGGGAATGGCTTATAAGCCTCTGACCGAGACAAGAGAGAATCTACATTTTTGGCTTATAAGCCTCTCACTGAGACAAAGAGAGAATCTACATTTTTAGAGTGAAAAACCCTTGTTCTCTCAATCTAATGTTTTCATGGTTTAATCGTATGTGATTGAGGGTGCTGCTACAAGGTGTTGATTAAGATCAGCATCAAGAGTGTAATCAACCAATCTAAATCAGGAGCAAAAGAATTGAACAAATTATGGAGAAGCAGATCTTAGGTGACCTAGATTTGATCTTGAAAAGGCCTAGAATAATTTCTTAAGTTTGCTTTTCAAAAATAATATTTCGAATTAAAGTATTTTGAGAAGTTTTTAAAAAAGTTTTTATTGAAAAATAATATAGTTTTGTCAATAGGTTGATTGATTGAAGACCTGCAAGCCTCGATTGAAAAATGAACTGATCGAAAGTTTTTTCTGAAAACTAGTGTGCCCAGACTGTCTAACGAAGGCTTGATCGAATCTTTCGGAAACTCAATTTTGGAAATTCTCTCTAATAGAACTGTTGGAAGGATTCTACTTAGTAAATAGTTTGGATCTCTCATTTGGGTTATACTTATAAGCCTCTGACCGAGACAAGAGAGAATCTACATTTTTGGCTTATAAGCCTCTCACTGAGACAAAGAGAGAATCTACATTTTTAGAGTGAAAAACCCTTGTTCTCTCAATCTAATGTTTTCATGGTTTAATCGTATGTGATTGAGGGTGCTGCTACAAGGTGTTGATTAAGATCAGCATCAAGAGTGTAATCAACCAATCTAAATCAGGAGCAAAAGAATTGAACAAATTATGGAGAAGCAGATCACATGAGGAGTGGACTCGTTGACTGATCAGTCGTAAAAGAATCCAGGGTGATCTAGCTCAAGTGTGAGTTGGGAGGAACTAAGGGATTCTTGGGCAGGCTAATTATATATATATAATTATTCGTAAAAGTTTCAACACTTATCTAAAAAAATTAAAGAAATAACAATATATAGTACGCCAACCATTTTACACTCAACCCTTTTCCCAATTATTTTGAAATTGTACATACATGAATCATATTTCGTCATTTAGCATGTTCTCACTTATTATTTATTATTGAATCGCTAAATTACATGTCGAGCTTATTTGAATTGAGAATTAGTAAAGATGTCGATAATACTTGTTATTAATTTGATAAAAATAGAAAAGTAAAAGAATAGAAAGAACAATAAAAGGATGACAAGCACCAACACTAGAATCACATATGCAAACTTAGTCTAATTTTGGTCGACCTATAACCATAATGTGTTTCATCCTCTGCATAGACTAACTTTGCCTTTGGATAATATGTGACAAGGATAAGTACTTTCTTATTCATGAAAAGTCGAAATTTGAAAAGGCTAATTTCTTATATGTGAAAATGTGCAAAGGTGAGAGTAGGATTTCTAAGATTGTTTTGTATTTCTTTGCTTCTTTCTCAATATTCATAATGTTGGAATAGAGTGTAATATAATAAGCTGACTTGAAAAATAAGTTTCACATGAAAGTTCATAGAACTTTCCTAAAATTAATAAAGAATGGAACTTTTTAACGTAATTTGAAAAGTAGAAAGGATGGAAAAGTTGAAATTTTGACAAATGTTACACGTGCAGACAATGGGCTGTGTGGTGTCATAGTGACACGTTATAAGTGGCACTTGGCATTTTTGAGATGCTTGTTAACAATAAATACAAATGACCCCCTTCCGTTAACTAACTGTTAAAACGTCAAAAAAATATTTATTTAACGATTGAGCTGCACTTTAGCTTGTGTGGAAAGACGTTAATAACCTTGCATGGTACTATGAAATTACAAGAATATCCAAACACCATTATCATCTCTCTCTCCTCTTCTCGGTGAAACCCACTTTGAGTATGTTTAAAAGCATCTCTCTCTCCTTGGTGAAACCCGTTTTGGTTCTGTTCAAAAGCATCACCACCATGGGAGGTGGCAACCACCACCTTCTGCTGTCAATACCTCGGATTAGATTTCCAAGCACCAAATCAAATTACCCCAAATTAAAGTCAATGCTTTTGACTCCTAAACCAAAACCATATATGCATTAAATTGCAATTGAAAAAGCATATTGTTGATTGAATTTGAAACCTGTAGTAAACATAACAATGCCTCCGCACCAACACCTCTACGCCCAGCAAATATGATAAAACATGTGTAAACGATCTAATCGGAACCCAATGCTATGATATAGAGTCGTGCAAGGTCTACTGATCTAGACCTAGAGGGGGGTGAATAGGTCTTGTAGAACAAATTAAATTTCTTTTATTTTCCTCTGGTTTCAACCTGAATTACTACTGAATAAGCAAAAATAAAACAATTTATACAATATCAGCAGTGCATGCAAATAATATAAAAATAAAGCAATGACAATGGACACCGGATTTTTACGTTATAAACTCAACGAGAGTTAAAAACCACGGGATCTAGTCTCGCAAACAAATCCACTATCAAGAAAGTGATTTTTATGTTAGTACCCTCGAACCTTTAGTTTCTTTTAGACACAATTGAACAACAAATCTTCAGTCACTGTCGAGGATCTCGGGTGGTTCCTTTGCTTGTTTACAACATTCACTCCTCACGAATCTGCTTCTTTAGTGATCAGCCTCAGTCACTAGTCGGCCAGTTGACAATCTGGTATGGATTGCATAGGATGTGTTAAATGATCTTGTATAAGCGCAAGAACGGATGTATCAGCACATATAACAACTATTCACCAACTTGCTAATGTATATGATAAATGTCGAAAACAAAGATGCACTTGTGAACTCACAAGAAATCTCTCATAAATCTGTATGAGTGATTTGTTTTCAGAGATGAAGCACGTGTGTTTTTAAATAAAAATAATCTCAATGCGTTCTATCTGGTATTCTCTTAGAAGATAGGTATTTATATGCGACCAAGAGATGTGTTTTAATTAAAATTAACAACAGAGTGTAAGTCCTTTTAGAACAATGGAGAATCGACCTTGTCGATCGATCGAGAGAAGCATCGACGATTCCAGTGAGTCTCGATTGATATGTCGATCGATCAAGAATCTTGCAGGAACTGATACTAACGAAAAGTTTTGAGAATTTATTTTTCATTTAAATACACATGCATATTTGGAGTCAAAATAAATTTAGAAAATTTCAAAATTAAGATGCCAGGTATATGCAATGCATGGCCATATTTGTGAGCGTGCATCATAGTCTACCTTTATATCCTTGTTGTAGAAGATTACCAATTTGTCCTTTGTTGTAGCTTGATAGTCAACTTGGTGGTAATTACACAACTCACTTTTGACAAATTTCTAACTAACTGGAAATTAAAACAAAAATACAATGAATATGTTTTGACCTACAAAATTAGTCAACTTAGTCCTATTGACCAAACAAAATCACCATGAAGGGTTTCAATTTTGGCCTTCAGTTCATGCTCTAGTTTGTTGCTGGTTTTGGTTTTAAATGAAGGCCACGGGAATTGGTAGTGGTTGACAGTGGGGATTGGGTTAACTGGTGGTGGTTTGAACAATTTATTGGCTCCCTCTCTCTCTCTCTATATATATACATATATATATATATACACAGACACATTTATTAGTTTGATGAGTCTAATGCATTTAAATTTTCAATCTTCTTCCTCATTAAATAAAACCAAATTGTTGAGGATTACCCTATTGCTGTCCATAAGGAGATGAGATTAGCAAATCTCAGTTTTCGATTACATCAGGCATTTTCTTCTTTCTTCATTGTTGATGTTGACCATTAATTGTGTTCATTGATGGTGGTGGTTCTGATGGAAGAGTGGAGGCTGCAGGTCGAGCAGAATGTAGAGAGAGAGAGAGAGAGTGAGAGAGAGTGGAGGCGACACCACTAAGAGAAGAAAAGTGTGAGAGGAGAGAGATAGAGGTGATGGTGGCGGGGGTTTGGAGATGCAAAGGTGGTGGTGGTTATGGAGGAAACGCCGAAGCCTCATTCTTAAACCATTTTCAAGGAGAGACATAAAGCCAAAAAAAAAAAAATCATAGAGAGAATCTGCATTGCTTTCTCATGGAAGGTTTCAAATCTAAGTTGTGTGGAGCACAGCAGAGCTAGAACTACAATGGACACAAACCTGCATTTCAAAGTCTCCAGAGCTCAAATGTTATAGTGCTTCTCATGCACATCCACAGAAATGCAGCTGGAGATTGTTAAAGATGTGAAGTTAAAGAAAGGCAGAAAGGCAATGACCAAGTTTCAGAGGAAGAAAAGGGTGTTTAATGATGACACATCTGCATGATTTTTTTCATTAAATAATATTAAATAAAATACGGGTATAAAGGAAATTTCATACTATATTTTGACGTTTGTAGGCTTACTAACGACCACAAGGAAGGTTAGTGTAATTAACGCCATTTTGTTATGCCATGTGTAATTTGACCTAACCTTTACCCTAATTTTAATATCCAAGTTTCAGTGTTGGATTTCTTAATTTTTAAAAATTTCATGAATCTGAATGGTTTGTCTTATTTTGCATATTTGAACTCTGAACCTTTATGAAGTTGAAACAGCCTTTTTAATCAATGAATCATAATAGTGGAAGAAGACTTCACAGATGTTGCAGTTTTGATTTCATGAAAGTGACATAATGCATCATTTTGCTTACTGCTTAGGTTATTTTGGCTACAAAAGTATGTGGTTATTCAGAGCGTTCAAGTTACTTGCGTGACAATGCAAAAGTTTTGAGGGTTGATGCTGCTAATATTAAAGAAAGTGTAGAAAAGAGCCTTAAGCGTCTCAACACTGATTACATTGATCTATTGCAGATACATTGGTAAGTCTTCATAACTACAGTCAATTCCAAAAGCTTGGATTGTGTGGATCACCTTTTTACCTGATTGCTGATTCACCTCAAGCTATATCAATTCTTCCATTTTGAATTTCTCCCATTGATTATATTTTTTGCTAATATCACAAACTTCACACTCGTAAACTTCCAGTATATTACGTTTTCACGAGGACAGAAAATGTAGTAGAGGAATGTTTTAGTGAGGTATTTTTATTAGTTTTTCTTGATATTTCTTATACACACACACACACACACACACACACATATACACACACACACATACATATATAGGTAAGATATTTAGGAAAAAATAAAAAGAAAATATTGTTTCTCAATGGAAATTGTTAATAATTTTTTGTTTTTGAAAATGTTTTGTTGAAACAATCACAATTGATACCAACAAATTTGAGACATATATGATGCGCACGTACACTAGGACAATGGGCAAGGATAAATAAAATTAGGGTTAATATTTATTTCTATTTTTTTTTTTTTTCATATTTATCTTTTTTGGAGACCTGTTTTTCATTATAATATTTATTAATTTGGATTCCTTAGGGTTTGCCTATGATCTTCTGCATATATAGGGCTTTCTATACTAGGAATTGGACGTTTTGAAAACTGATTGAGATTGTTGATTACTAATGCAAACTGATCGAGGAATTGGCGCTCTCTTTTCATTCTAAATCAGATTGGTGTAACATTCCAAGAAAATGTTTTTGCCAATCACTTTACACAGCAAATCTAAGCAAAATACCCATTCTGCAGCAGACCCAACATAGAGTTTAGCCGCAAACCCGTTGTTTCCAAATGCACAAACAAACCATAAACCAACCATCTCTATCATCTGCCATCGTCAACCACCATCAGTAATAACCAGTAACAAGTACCCATTGTCTATAACCAAAGACTAGCTGTTAATGCCAGCAGCATTACTAGCCTTCCTCGTCCTTGTTTATTGTTGAGCTAGCCATCTTCTTCATCTCTAGCCACAAGGCATTATGCCCTTGTTGTCACTGTGACATCGCGGTGTCTTGGCCATTCCTAGACCACCTTTATTGCAAAGCCCAAACCACCATTGTGTTGTCCCACCGTCCTCGCATTGCATCATCAGAAATTTCAACGCTCTACTACTATTACAAACCTGTTGTAGGAGCACCACCGTTGAAGTCATTCAGCGCTGCTTGCCTTAGTGCGTTGGCGGTGACCTGTTGTTGCTCGTCGCCAATCACTAGTCCTCATCAATTTACAGTTGTCGTCTCAACTTGGGGTGTTGGCTTGCTGCAGAAAGAATGGAATTAGAGCAGGAGATATATACCCACACTTGATCGAAATTTATTTCGGCCCAACTTACCTTCCAAACTTTTGCTTCACTGTAAGTCCATATTTGGTCCAAATTTGAACAAATTATTCTTGAAGCTTGCTTTTGGACCAAATGGCATTCCTATTAAGGTTTGGGAGTGTTTATGGGATGATGATGTGTCTTGACTAACAAAGTTGTTTAATAAGATAAAATGAACTAAGAAAATGCTTGATGAGTGGAACAAAAGTATTTTAGTACCTATATATTAAAAGAAAATGAATATACGAAGTTGTACTAATTATTTTTATATTAAATTAATAAGTCACACTATTAAACTTTGGGAGAGATTGATTAATCACTTAATCACTAAGATGGAAGACTGAAGTATTAGAAAATCAACTTGGATTTATCTTTGGGAGGTTAATGATGGAGGTTATTTCCTTATTGAGGATACTAATGCAAAGATATATGGAGAAGAAGAAAAATCTCCAAACCATTTTTATTGATTTAGAGAAAGCTTATGGCAGGGTACTTGGGCATCTAATATGGACAATTGTAGAAAAGAAATGGATTCCAAAGATATATATTGACTTATTAAAGGACATATATGATGAAAGTGTGACTATCATTAGAACGATTGTAGGGGGAATAAGTGAATTTCCAATAACTGTAGTATTGCATCAAAGATCTGTGTTAAGCCCTTATCTTCTTGTCTTAGTTATAGATGAACTGGTGAGACACGTTCAGAATGAGATTCCATAGTGTTTGTTAATAATATTATTTTAATTGATGAAACTTTAGAAGGGGTAAGCAATAAATTAGTGCTGTGTTTGGTGTGCAGGAATGGAATGGAATGCCCATTCCAACCATTCATTTGTTTGGTATGCAATTTAAAGTGGGAATGGCCATTCCATTGGAATGAAAATCCATTCCACAACTAAACCTATATAATGACCATTCCATTCCCAAGTAAATTTTTTTAAAAAATCAACTTCCTAAAAAATCCTCATGTTCAAGTCCAAAAACCACCACTACCTTCCACTACAACCACCTCCGCCTTTCACCACCACCACCACTACCACCACCTTTCACCACCGACACCGCCTTCCTTTGCCGCAACCACCACCACTGTCGCCACCGCTATGCCATAACCTTTCACCATCACCATTGCCATCGCCATCGCCAACGCTATCGCCTTCCACTGCCTCCACCTTCCACCGCCAACGCTACCATCACCTTTTACCACCGCCACTACCTTCCACCACCGCCACCTCCATCGCCTTTCACCACTGCCACCGCCTTCCACCACCACTACTGCCACCGCCACCTTTCACCACTGCCACCGCATTTCACCACCGCTATTACCACTACCACCGCCTTCCATCGCCACCACCACCACCATCACTACCACCTTTCACCACCACCACTGCCACTACCGCCGCCACCTTTCACCATCGGCATCACCTTCCACCACCACCGTGACCACCACCACCACCACCTCCACTGCCTTCCACCGCCACCACAGTCACCTCCATTGGCTTCCGCCACCGCCACCTACACGACTATCTCCTTCCACCACCACCACCACACTATTGCCACTGCTTTCCATCACCACTATCTTCCACCATTGCCACCGCCGCCGCCTTCCAACACCACCACCTACACCACTGCCGATTTCCACCAATACTACCATTGTCACCGCCATCTGCCACCGCCACTGCCACCATTTATTTTAAAAAAATTTATAGAAAAATGTCATTTTGTTAATTTAATTTATTTGTTACTAAGAGGGATATTTTTGAGAACTCAATTTGAAATATATTCCATTCTAAATTTAAAATTGTCCAACCAAACACTAAAATGGTTATTGTCATTCTATTCCTACACATTTCATATTTACAACCAAACAATAGAATGAGAATGACCATTCCATTCCATTCCTGCACACCAAACACAGCATAAAGGTTTGGAGGGAAGCCCTAGAATTAGAATGATTTGAGACAAGCAGGAATAAAACTGAAATTATGGATTGTAACTTTAGTAAATATAGAAATACAAATTGGGATGTACTAAAGATTGAGGATCAAGATATACCAAAACTTTATATGACCACAGATCTATCCTCCAAAACAACAAATCTATAAGCTCTAAATTATTATCCTACACAACAAGGCATTCCAGTAAATGAAGACTCGTGTCTTCCACTTTAATGGAAGTTTAAAACTTATTTAGATTTCTTAATTTTTTTTTCACATTTTTGGATTGATTTAAGTTATTTTATCAATAGTATTCTAGGCCACTTGTTTGAAGTTACGCTAAAAATAATTTATTGGTGATCTATTTTGAAGAGTCCCGTGAAGATCTTTATCCCTACCAATTTGTATTCTTGTGACACTCTGACTATGATGTTTTTTTAACTTGTTTAATTTTGAAACCTCTCATGTTGAAGTGTATCTATGGTCATAAAAGGTAGTGAAAAGGTACAAATTAGTAGTCATTTCTCATTGATGGCAATGTAAATCCAATATAAAGTTCATCACTATATTAAAATCATATTTATAAGGTCAACAGAATATATTGCAAATAATTAAAAATCAATTTTAAAACTTCTTGGGGTAGGAACAAGTGTTTTTTTCAATATTTTGTGGGATTTCCACAACCGAAGAATAATTATCGTTCCAGTATCCATGTCCTTCTTAATGTCTATTAGACTCTGCATCCGCACCACCATGATCATAACTGTCACAGTGATTGTTACTTAGATTTAAAGCTATGATTGATCTCAGTAACCAAACACATCGACCCTTTTTTTTTTTTTTCAAAGTTTTTAGTAGGAAAGCCTGCAAGTGCTCTCTCTTTCAGCTGCGTGGACAGTGAGAGCTTCTCAAAGCACATGAGAGTCTCTCCATCCTATGAATAAAAGTGAGAGCTCACCTTGAGAAAGCTCTCCTGATAGCATTGCTCTTTCTATCAATGGAAATGTAATTCAGACATAATGGAATGCCTTGTTGTACTAGGATAATAATTTACTGCTTTGATTCAGGCCAGACCGCTATGTGGCATTGTTTGGCGAATTTTCTTATGACCCATCAAAATGGAGGCCTAGTGTGCCATTCGTAGAGCAGCTCAGGGCATTGCAGCAACTTATTGATGAAGGGAAGGTAATACTTTGTTTAACTAAAATTATGCCTCTGGTTCTCCTTGATGTCAACTTCTAAAATTCTGAAAGAGTGGTAAATGAGATGAACAGAGTAGAAACAATGTTCTGAGCTACTAAACCTGTTTAGAAAATAATTAAACACAATCTGTAAAACATGAGAATCCTTGATTCTGCTTGCACAGCTACTAGTGGCAATTGCATATAACAAATTTATATTTTCCTGGCTCACATTTAATTTAAAAGAATAATGTATTTCAAGAGCCATGAGTCTTCAAATTTTTAGTTTCCAACAAATGAACAAATAGTCAATGAACTTCAGAAGTTAAGAGGTCCTGTAATTTTTATAACTTTAAAAAAAAAAAAATGGAACACACACAACAACAACTAAATCTGGCTAATTGTGGACATTCTGTGCAATATCATTATATTATTGAGGTGATATGGAAGGCATAGAAATTTATTTTAGGTACGCAATATCGGTGTTTCCAATGAAACTTCATATGGGGTGATGGAGTTTGTTCACACTGCAAAAGTCGAAGGACTACCAAAGATCGTCAGCATCCAAAATAACTACAGTCTGCTAGTTAGATGTAAGTTTGAAGGTAAGTTCTTTCCCCATCTAATTTGTTTCACTATTAAATTTGAAAAGGAAGCTGTTCTTGTGAAATTTTGAGCTTCAAACATTATTCTTGTTATTTTTCTTCTCATAGATATCTCAAATTTAGTAATGATGTATAAAATCTTCCTCTTTCTTGCTGTAAACTAATGAGCAAGGAAAAAAATAAAAAATCTTCCTCCTCCTTGCAGCTACTATTTAGAACAATTTCCTCTTTCTTGGAATCAGTATCTATATACTTGGTTGTACAACAAGATAGTACAACAAGATACTCCTACAAGCATGGCATCTTTTGTAATTGCTTCATCATCACTGAGGCTATTTGGCATGCAATAGTTGTATAACACTTTTAAAAGTTAAGTCTCCTATATTGCCACCCAACACATATCCTCAGAATGTATTTGCACTTTTGGGGATTTTAAAACCAAGGTGCCAATTATGGCCATTGATCTCAGGTTGTTTAGATGATGATCCAAGGTCTCTTTTTATCTCCTCTTAACATTATCATTATTCAGTCTCAATAATCTCTGCAATACTAAAAACTACAACTCAATTTCCATTGAACTGCTGGCTCACATCCAAGCCACTAATGAGAATGATATTGAGGACTTAGATTTTGAATGGTGCGACTCCAAAAGTATGGACAACGCTTATATATTCACTAATTTGGTTCTTTGCAGTTGACCTTGTTGAAGTGTGCCATCCGAACAATTGCAATATTGGCTTACTTGCATATTCCCCATTGGGTGGTGGATCATTGTCGGGAAAGTATATAGACATAGATTCTGAAGCTGCAAAAAAAGGGAGGCTCAACCTTTTCCCTGGCTACATGGAAAGATATAACAGATCTATAGCCAAGGTATGTTACTATCTGAATCTTACCCATGGTGGTAAAAAGTGTGCACTTGAAAATGAGTATTTTGCAAATCTACCCAAATGATAAGAACCTTCAGGGCCGGCATCCATAATCTCAAAAGAACACACATCTTTATGACAGTTGGAAAAACACGAATTCTTTACACATGCAGTTGTATATGTTTCAAAATTTCGATGTTACCATAGAAACTAGTAAAACTTTGAGTCCGTGACACATTAACCATGGATCAATATGTTCCATGTGGAGCAGTAGTTTGTTGAAAGAATTGCTCCATCATTTTTCTTCATTTTGAATTTTTTGCCAGCTCCCACTGTTGACCTACAAGTGAAAATATACACGAGTACCCATCTGACGCCGAGGCTGATATGTTTTTGTTGAATCACAGGAAGCAACAATACAATATATTGAATTGGCTCGGAAACACGGACTGACTCTGGTTCAGTTAGCGCTTGGATTTGCCCGTGACCGTCCATTTATGACAAGTTCAATTATTGGTGCAACTTCTGTCAACCAATTAAAAGAAGACATCGACGCTTTTGTAGCGACTGAGCGGCCATTACCACCCGAAGTGATGGAAGATATTGAGAATGTTTTCAAGAGATACAAGGATCCAGCAATTCTCTAGGAATTAATTCCTAGATGATGTGCATGTATTTCATTTTTTTGATCTGTATATTATAAATAATTATGTCAATGTGAATTTTGTATCCTCTTACACAAAGGATGTTTAATTAAGTTCACATTATCGCTGTTAGGAAAATTGGTGCAAATGGTTCAATCGGTTTGGATCTTGTTGAATTTTCTTTCATTATTTAGATTTATATAGAGTATGTTAATATTTGTTGGGCTTGAAGTGTTTGAAGGGATTTTCTGGGAATTCCCAAATTGTATGGATGTGAAAGATTGTATGTGTTTACTTGTTAAAATTTGTATGTTGTTTTACTTGTTAAAATAAAATTTCTTGTTATGACGTAAAATTACTATCGGTGGAGGTCATCTAAAATGACGAATAAAAATCTTCGCACTTAACAATAAATGGTTGAATAACATTTTTTGCATTTTATGCAAAGTTTGGTTGGAGGGATGAAAATTTTGATTGAAGGGAGAGGGATGGGCGAGGCATCTTCCGAGAAAGGAAAGTCAGAGAATTTTAGTAGGCTTTAAAAAGTTATTTAGCAAATAATTAAAGGTTAAAATTGGTATTACAATTTTTTTTTTTTTTTTATTCTTTGTTTCACTTCTCTCTTCCCCCAAATTTTGGATGGATAAAAAACCAAGGAGCACTGCTAATTGCACTCCCATTTTTATAGAGGATTAAAATCTAATTTTGTAAGACAAAATTACCCTCTTTTGTTTATTGACTATTATTCTTTCTCCTCTTTTTATCGCGTGTCTATATATATGGCTAATCTTCTTTCAATGCATTATTTCCTTTTCATTTTTTTTTGTTTCAATTGTCTTTAAATGGATTCATTCTTTCTTTTCTTTTTTTTTTCTTTTTTATACTGTTGATTGATTCTGTATATATTAAATATTATTTATTTATACTTTAGATGTGAATTTTAAAGACTGTAAATTTTAATTGAAGTAAATTATACAATTAAATTTTCTTTAAAGTAAAATTGTATAATAAAGTTTTTTAGTTCATTTGTAAAAGATAGAAGTGAATGGTTTAGCATAGACTAAGACGTAATGGAAAATTTAGTTTCCTGCCGTCTAGTATTTTCCCTTAAAAAGTAATTATGTAACGTGCCCTAACCTTTTTAGATTTCTTCCTAAAATATTGTTCTTTCCTTTCTTGATGAACTCAATTATGGCATCTTTAAACAACTTTCCATTCCTCAATCGTTGTTGTTGATCATGATAACTTGAAATTACAACTCGACTAGTACTTATTTTATTATCGAAAATTGTCAATTACAAAATTTATATCCCACAACTTTATATTTCAGTACCCATCTATCACATATCTAAATTCATCATGATGTGGTTTGAAGTTTGATGGTTTGTATAATCACTTTATAATTTAGTAAATTGAGAATGAAAAAGAGTGTCATTGCAATTGCATTTTAAAGTTTCAATTTCTGGTGCTCTTGGATTGGCATTGAAAAATTTCTCATGCTTTTTGACACTTTGCTTGATTTCCAAGGAGGAAAAAAAAAAGATAACAAAAACTAAAAAGATTGCATTGATCATTTTTCTTGACGATCTAGCTTTAGTCTTTTCTATATATATATATATATATATAACAAATTTGGCATATAAAATCTGGTTTGGAATTTTTTGTTTTGTTTTTGTAGTTCTTCTATTAATACAATGAAAATAACAGATGGGTTATATATATATATATATATAGATCAATACATACATGGCATTTAAAATTAAAGGACGGTGGAGTTAGTGTTGCATTCAATTTTCATATGGCATAAGAATACACGAACGCGTATATGCATATGTATGTATTGTTCTATGCACTTTGAGCAACTTTTGCCTCTCCAATTTACATATTAATTTGCCACTAAGTTAAATTTTATAATTTGTAGTTGTTTTAAACTAATTATTATTATTTTTATTCGTATCACTACCTTCAATATCTAGATTTATACTGTGGAGAGTAGGACCGCTGTCAGAAATTATTACATTGTCCTCAATCACAAGGCACTTGGTGGTCCAATTCAATCAACCCATTATTAGGTTTCTTTATAATATCTTATTAAAATCTAATGAATTCACTTTTCTTAATCTGAGAATTTTAATTTATGCATGAGACTAAGATAGAGAGAGAGAGTGACAATGCGTCCACATATATATATATATATATATATATATATATTGGCAATGCATATATAGAAATGACAATGCCATTCCATATAAAGTTCTCATCTAGGTCTCACCAGTGAGTATGGAAATGGATTTTGTTTATTGCGCAGTCTATCTCACTAGGATTGAACCATCAAATTTATATAATCCCCATTCAGGATGCCATTCCATATAAAGTTCTCATCTAGGTCTGACCAGTGAGTATGGAAATGGGTTTTGTTTATTGCGCAGTCTATCACACACCAGGATTGAACCATCAAATTTATATAATCCCCATTCAGGAAATATATATATATATATATATATATATATATCATATGACATGGATACTATTATGACATGAATACCATCGAAATCATAATAGCTTTTATGGATTTTTTTGCAACATTTTAATTACAAAAATACATTCATTTTAGACATATGTTGATTAATATAGAACTAGTTCAGCATGAGAGCACTTTTAGTGAGGTTAGGTCAATAAAAGAATCTTTTATTTATTTATTTGTTTGTTAATCTATAAGAATATATTAATATTGCTTATCTGCATATATATATATATATATATATATATATATATATTGTTGGGCACAACGGCAGACTCAAACAAATATACGATGACAAATTCTAATAATAGCAAGATATGAATAAAAATGAAAAGAAAAACACACCACAAGATAAAATGTATACGTGATTCACCCTCCAGACAATAATTCCTCATTCTCACAATCAAATGTCACCTGCCAAATGAAGAAAAACTCGCCGAACACTCTCAAAAAAAATTCCTTAATAATTATATGGTTTACATAAACAAGAAAATCCACACAAGACAAACTTCAAATATCTCTCTTGAAGATTGTACATATAAAATGATTTCTTCACACAAAAAACCAGTATAACTTGGAGCTCATTTGAAATTGTTGTTGGAATAAAAAAACGTTTTTTTATCAATAAAGCCGTCAAAAGTTCAGTAAAAAACATGTTAGTGTTTGGTGACATATTATAAACCCAACATATATATATATATATATATATGCACACACACGATAATTTGGTCAACAACCTGTTTCTAGTCTTTCACGCCATGTCTAAGAGATATATATATATATATATGCACACACACGATAATTTGGTCAACAACCTGTTTCTAGTCTTTCATGCCATGTCTAAGAGAAAGTATGATCACTCAAATAAATATAGTATTTTGTATCATATACGTAATTTGGTGTCTAGATCCATATGTAGTGTGTAACGCTCTGATTTCTAATGTATTTTACTAGATACTTAATACAATTATGATTTCTATATTGATTTTTTTTTTTGGGCGAGTAAAATTTCTATATTGATTTCAGGTCCATTATCTGTAAAATGAGCAAGATGAGGTAAAATGAGTTAATTCTATGTTAGTTGTGATGACTACTGTTAAAAAAAAGAAAATACTATACAATTTTTCTATAAATTTAAAGTTGTTCAAATTGCAAAAATCAGCAAAATTTTCTGGCATAAACTCTTCAAAATCTCTGATTAAACCGAAAATTGTTCACTAAAAACTAACTTTTCTATATAGCAGCAATGATTCAATGAGAACTTAGACATATCCGAACTTTTGAGACGTCCCATAAATTTTATCTTAAATTGCAGATTTATAGACAAAATTTCCAACCTGTCAGCGTCCTGTTTAAATCGAAATTCAGACCGTTATGTGGGATTACTTGCTGAGCCATGGAACAAATTTTCATAATGCTTCCTAGAATATTTTGGTATATGCTATAACTTAAGATCTGCTTCTTATTATTATTATTTTTATATTTTGAAAGGTAACCTAGATCTTATGAATTCACTTTACATATGAAAAAAAAAAAAAAAAAAAAAAAACAAAACAAAAACTAGGAACTAGGAACGATCCCATTAACACCATACATGACCATACATGACGTAAGCGGAAGGTTACTTTGAATTCATAAAGTATGGTGTTTTAAATTTATAAAATAAAAGTTAAATTTAGAGAAAATTTGATATTGTATTGATAATCGAATGTGTGATTTTGCTCTATTTATAATGAAAGTAAAAAGAAACTAACGAAACCTTATAACATATGTAAACCTAAGAAATTAAAACTACTTGTTTACTCCATTATTTTTGGCCCAATGGAAGTGCAACATGTGGCGAGTTCCAATGGAACTTACCACGCTAGATCATAACTCCAATAAATTATTATTGGAAGCTATGTAATATTACGTAGTAATTAGACAAGTGGGTCAGTATAATCCTACCGTGTGAGGTTTTCTATTTTAAAAGGAAAGAGGTGAGTCCTATTAGGACTTACCATCTTTAAAATCAAGGGTCCAAATCTTCCCATATGGAATGAGTTTGGCCACACATGGCGAGTTCTGTGCGACTTAACACGGCTTATTAATTCCTCAGGGAATTGTTACTATAGAAGGTGTTGTATTTCCAAAAGAATCCCAAGTACATGGAGATTCACCAAAATTGGTAGCACTGAAGTTGACTAAGTCAAAAGAAGGAGAACGAAAGCCTCATTTATTTCATTAAGTCAACTGTGTTTGCAGAAGAAAAGGAAGTAGGTTGGATGAATATATATATATATATATTCTAGGAAACTAACCACGATGAGGAAACTCCTAAAATCAAGGAGGTCATGGTGCCATGAACTCCAAAGCCCAGAAGGAAAGTCTCAAGATAGAAGTTGCCAAAATCATGGAAACGTGGTTTACAGAAGAAAAGGGACGTGGGGAAAAGTCTGTATTTATGGATATATATCTATGTATATATATTTATATATCAGATATAACCCATGAAAGAAAAATCGCTGAAGTCTTGGGGCCACGACCCCATAGATTCCAAAAATCAGAAAGGAAAGTCTGGTGGAGGGAGGTTACTAGAATCAAGGAAAACGTAGGTGCAAAGGAAAAGGAGGTGATTTATATTTATGAATATATATATATATATATACATATATATATATATATATTCTAGAATATAGCCCACGATGAATCAAAGAA